AGAAAACTGAAAATATATGAAAGGAAAAACTTAATATCATTGTCAAAATAAACAAACAAAGTCAGTATTTATTATTATAAATAAACGACACGTGAGAAGATCATATAAACACCTGAGAATTTCTTCTAAACGTGACCATGGCATTTTGTTGGACGAAATTGGAAGCCCTACCCGAACACGATCCGACGCAAGTAGTACAGCCTACGTCACGCTTTTATGTATTTCTTTTACTTCCGCAAAGTGTCTCTCGTTCAGTTTTTTTTTTTTTTTTTTTTTTATTCAAGCTTAAAAGACAATTATTCCAAATAAAAGAAATAGTTATGTTTACAGATAAGGTACCCACCTCTATCAAAGCACAATCCAGATATTGCGCGTTATTACTGCGGCCAGCAGCGAAGTCGTTGTCATTTGCTGGAAGACTGTCGCCTAAAAGAAGTTTTCCAAGCTTGGTCGCCGAATCAACCTAGAGAGTAGATAAAATAATCATGTTTTTAGCAAATATGGCTTATGTTGTTTTTAATTCTAAATTGATTAACAAAATTGATGAATAAAAAGTGACGAACAGCCACTGTTAATTTAACATCTTGCGTTCTCTTTGCTGTAAAATATCACTTATTTCAAGATACATTAAAATATATGCTCAGTTCATGTCTTAAAGCCGTCAAATTAGGGACGACACTTTGTCAATATATTCAAAGGTTTGAACCAAGAGTAGGCCTATCTGACATACGGAAACTGTATTTTTGAGGTGTCTTCTAATGAAGCATATGTAATATGTTTGGACAATATTGTACCAGTATATGCACGTCTTACTTGAACTGTTTTCAGCAAACGTTAATATATAGGCCTATAAGAGACAGCTTGAGCTAAGTCCGTATTTATTGAAAAATATGTTTTCAGAGTTTTGTAGAACCCTTTGTTTAAAAGGCTTCCTGCTCTTTCACCCCTGCTTATTTTTCTATAAGAAGTAAAAACAGACATACGTCACGACAATCAATTAATATTCTAAGTATTTGGTTCATACGGGTAAAATCTGATTGAAATGTGCACTCTAATGAAGCCGAGTGACTTCACCTTGCTGCATCACATTCGAGACTTCACTTGCAAAAGACCTGACCTCACAGAATTGAGGCATTTGAGGTGAAAGCTGTCATTACCTAATTTATCGTTGTAAAGACATTTGACGGGTCACTCCTCATCATAAAATGTTCATTTTTGATTGAATGAAATATTTGCATATTATTCAATTTTTACTTTATTCAAAGAGTCGCCCCGAGTTTTATTATTTACGCTATTAATATTTCTAAACTAAATCCGGGTTTGCGTCCACGTTGATGGAAAGCAAATGGTTATTTGATTATTTTTCCAGTATGTCTTCTGTTGTTTGATTACATGCTTACTTTTTAAAATAAATATTCGCCATTGACTTGTTAATTTATCACCAACGTTCTGCACTGCAGGGAAAAACCCATAATTACTCGGTCATCCTACAAGCCACATGACCCGGTCATTCCCGGGCCAGGCGATGTATGCAGGTCAGACATACAATAGGTCTTTTCAGGTTTAGATTATTTGTCCTTAACATATGTTGGTCTCTCGTGTGTTTGGTCTTAACATATATATTTTTACCACCATGCACGAGGTCTGCACTGAATATTCTTAATCACCAGGGTAATGAAACCAACTTGTATTGCATATTTAAGAAGCATAGGGGTACCATGAGTTCGCCCCCACAGGTAGTTTACTTTTTGACCTGTCTCTATATGTCAGGTGTTCATAATAGATAGAATATAATATCTGCTTTGACGGCGTGTCTGGTCAGCTGGCCTGCCTGCAGTCAATGTCTGGCTGCCACAATGATGCATCTGTGGCGTTTTCACCTCAAGCACCTGTCTCTACTGATACACAGAGATCAGGTACACCTTACAGCCAGGTGAATGTCAATAGCACTTGTACAAATCTTAACACCTGGACTGACTTGGATACAGTATGTGTTCCCTACTCAGAGTTTGCACTGATAAGTACAAGTTGAAGAATAAGCTCGCTACATGTATCTGATACATACCTTAATAACTTGTATGTCGTTCTCCCAACAGTATGCCTCTAATAGTGTGAAATGAATACATAGCTCCAAGTTATCCAAGGTGTCCGCCGCCAATACACACAGCATTACGTGGTCTGAACTTCTGGAAATTAGACGACATCATTAGATACCAACTACGTACTGTAACAATAACATAGATGTACCTGTATTAGCAACGGTGTTGTTAGGTGTGTTATGGAAACATAACAATTTCAATACATAATATTTTTAAATCATATACGCCAAGTTGGTCTAAAATCACTGCAAGAGGTACGCATATTCACTTTTAAAAGTAAACAGAGTACCTCAAATGTATATCAGGTGTGTTATGGAAACATAACAATTTCAATACATAATATTTTCAAAACATATACGCCAAGTTGGTCTAAAATCACTGCAAGAGGTATGCATATTCACTTTTAAAAGTAAACAGAGTACCTCAAATGTATATCAGGAATAATAAAGCCAGCATTTGAGTATTTCAAAGCACTTACTCTTCTAGTCTCCTTGCTGCCTGATACACACCGCAGGTAACACGATTCGTCTCCTTAGCTTCTTGCAGGCTCAATTGAAGAGATACGCTGATGGCATTGGGGCGCGTTGTTAACGTGCTGATGAAAAAAATTATATATGATAATATTATTTAAGTCAATGATTCTTTATATTTTGCGCAGCAGTTATTTGGTCTTTTTACATGTTAGCAAAAGGTTGTATGTGTCAGTGGCGGATTTAAGGGGGTGTCAGTGTCCTGCCCCCCCCCCCCCTTCAATTTTTGAAAAAAAATCACACCAATGGTCCCCTCTTGAAATTAGAATTTTGACTAGCTGAATCATAGTTCTAAACTGTACCAAATGGCACCGATCGCCCTCTAAAATACCAAACATTTTCTGGGCCTCCGAACCCCACCTCAAAGGGTGGGGGTCGGCTTCGCATACGCGGACCCCACCTCCCTTCAAATAATCCTGGATATGCCCCTGTGGGTAATTTATTGAATAAAACGAAAGTTGCCTACCTTCTTCCAACGCCGTGCAATGTCATGTCATTGTTGTTATTGTTCATCTGAAGGTACGAGATGGTCCTCAATGATTCCTGATAACCCATCTTATTCAAAATATGTCAGAAATGAAATACTGTAGGTTCCACTCGTTCTTGACAGTGTGCGCTGGTAGCTTGTAAAGTTGAGAATGGTTTCACCTCAGACGCCGCGCTTACTTAAGGAGTAGGCCACGTGGTCAGGTGACATTTAACTGCGCGTCCTTAATTCTCCGGTCTTTGATAAGTGAAAGTGAGGTCTCTTATTTATATGAATGCAGCGAACTGAATTCATTTCTTACTGACAGTGTATAAGCCCGATCAATAGATGGAAGTTTTTTAAGAAAACAATGTGTCAGTTGTAATAGTTCCGGATGTTGAAAATTATGGTTAATTCGTAAAAACAATATAAAATATGTGGTTATTGTCGACCAAATCTGTGAGTTTCAGAAAAAAGATCATCGCATGGATGTCAAATTAAAACAATTTTTAATTGCACTTTAAAGAAAAACAAATTTGTTTTTGATACTTTTTGCGCGGAATTATTTTCACTCAAGTTTCTCCTTTTTTCCCTTTTTTAAAATTTACCTTACGTTTGAATCAGATTACGTTCTCTAAATGAACCGCATTTGCATGATAACCTCCACAACAACCACTGGTTTTAATTCCAAGGGTTTCATTTTTTTAAAAAGATCGTCGCGCAATTTTTTTTTTTTTTGAAAAGAAGACTACATCATCCACCTGACACATGACATCTGGCAGTGGGTGGGCTTAAGGCGTGTCAGCAGTCAAGATCGGTCCTTCAGTCATGATTTGAACACTTCACCTCAACAGAACGTCTCATTATGATGAATTTACCAAAGGAAGCCAAACCAACGCGGCTTAACTTGGATACAAATACGGTGGGTGGCGCAGTTTGATTTGCTGACAAAAACATCATATTTTGACCTAGTGATCACTTGGTCTAATCGTTTTCCTTTACAATGTAGTGTGACTAATGTGTCTTACGTCTTCCAATTTTAACTTACTTCTGTCCGGATTTGGTGAACCTTATGGTGCACACAAAAATCGGCCCAATCGGGATTTAAGTAAGCTTAGCACCTCTGTTATATTTCATGGGCATATTTACGACCAAGAAAGACGAGGTATGTAGTTACTCGGTTCACGTATTTTTAAAATGTACTGTGTGTGAAAGAGACAAAATGTCAGGAATATCAAATAACTCAAACCCCCCCCCCCCCCCCCCCCCGCCATTTACACAATACATTGCGAACACGTCGTCTACAACCAGACACAACCAGTCTTCATTTGTCTGATCTAACGTCACCAATATGCCAATATATAATAACAAATAAAGACAGAAACCATCAGCTTAATCAATAGTATGGAGTTTATTTAACCGCTACGCATTACGGTACAACAGTGCATTCAAAGAACAATGAAAATTACCCATTTTTTTTGAAAACCTTCGTTATTTCATACAATTCGTTATTTCATACAATTTCTAATTAAACAAATTAGTTTTAAACTCATGGCCAGCTACTTAGCCAGGTGTGACAGGAATGGTAGTCCGCTAAGAACCGTAGTCTGTTCCCAATTACTTTGTACAGGTGACATTCTTTCCACACTGCATACTAACTCCAATACTAGGACTTCCATTCCTGTCACACCGGCGTGTCTTCCTGTATATTTCAGAAGAAAATAAAGACACCAAGTACTTTTATTTCAGTTTGCCGTTTTAAAGGTCTGGATAAAGAGAGATAAGGAGCTTTTCAGGATATGTGGGCATGAAAATGTAGCTCTGGAACATTTTCAAACCCGGGTAGAATACCTTTAATGTAAATAAGTTTCATTTGTGTGGACGGCAGGAGATACAGGTATAATTTATTTGACATAATATACAACACAAACACCGTCAAATGTTCTGATCTTTTTAAAGTCCTCATCCTCGAGTAGAGTAGTCTCTCAAAACCGTGTAATATCTCTTCTTTGAAGGTGTCGTGACCGTCCCTGCAGCGTCATGGCGACTGGGCGACTTCTAGACAGGCGGGTATCACAAGGTACCGTGACGCGGCTACGGGAACCTATTCCACCGTTACTGCATGTAGCTATAGGCACTCTGGTACTTGAACCGTTTTTTTTTTCATCGTAATGAACAAGAGGATCGACATTGGATGCCATTACCTGAGCTGCGTCACGGCGACTGGGCGACTTCTAGACCGACAGCGACAGTTGCTTTCAGGTACGATAACCGGTGTCATTGTGTGACATCGTACAGGTAGTTCTACTGATGGCGACTGGCATTGTTCGACCATTAATACTGTTATTAGGCACCCTGAGACTTTTTAAACACAAAGACAATGGATGGTTTAAGTATTAGCTCAGACGGTCTTTATATGTTTTATACCTTGGAACCGGAGTCGGCGCCAATCTCTCGTGGTTAAGGCACTTGATTTCGTGGTTCAGACACGTGCTTCTGCATTAGCTGGGACGAAGCGATGGACTGATAACAATGGATTTATCCACCTTTCAAACTGGAAGTTCGATGATTGGTCTTGGTTGGTCAACGTTTTCGTTGGCTTTGCAAAAGTCTAGAACTCGTGCGTCTGCGTCGCTTTTATTTTCTTTTGGGAACTGAAATGAGGCAATTTACCAAATTTAAAGTGGATTCAGACCTCAAAAAATGTCCACAGCTGTTCCTTGTTTTGCTTTAATTATGTAATCAATAATTGACATGTACGTATATATCTTGTAAATGTGTAGATCGGGCGATAAGGTGAAACAGTACAATTAATCCAATGTAAGCTTACGTTGGAGGAGAAGAGGAATGAGGGTAATTAGGTATTGGTCTGGTTTTAAATTGCGATTTATTCCTTGTTCGTTAAATTAAAAGAAATCGCCAGATTCCATTTATACATTTTTGTAGAAAGATGCTAACCTCTATCAAAACACAGTCCAGTGCCCGTAAATCATCACTGCAGCCAGCCACATAGTTGTTGGCATTTGCTGGAAGATTGTCGTCAAACAGGAGTCTCCATAACTTCGTCGCAGAATCGACCTAATAGAAAAAAATAAAAACAAAGTCACGTGAATTAAGAAACTATACAAAATAGAGTACATTGACCGCAATCATAATCAAAAACCCTATGAAGGCCAAGTGTAACATTTTCAAAAATCACGTGTCTCAGGTTGTGGGAAGCCATATCCAGTTGATTGGATATTGTTGACAGGACCGTCTTTGCACCTTGCAATAATTAAATGACGCAGTAATGTGGCACAAATAGTGTGGTAAGAATGGGGTCTCTCCTAAGATATCTAATATAGACTATCATATCTAATATTCAATGACAGGTTTCGTGGAACTTTGAGCACGTGATAAATGATAAATCATAACAACCTAGGAATAATTACAGTTATGCTTGCTTTTTTCATTCCCCCGATCGAATTCGCAATACTAAGAAGTCCAGATGAAAAATAAACAATTTAAACCGCGTCTTCTAAAGTTGATAGGAAAATACGTGCATCTTTGACTACGGTTCCTATTAAGCGCCCCAATGTATACTCCATAAAAAATCTTAACTGCTATGCACAGTTTGCTAAAATCCAACCTACACTGTACTGTCTATATCCATTAGCCATGACCTGACAGGAGTCCATGAAGTGCCCTTCACCTCGGACTGAGACGTCTTTCAAATTAAAATGCAGAGACATGATGATTTAAACTGAGACATAATGACTCAATTTAAAATGGTTTTATGACATCAATTATGCCAACGCGACCCAANAAAAAATCTTAACTGCTATGCACAGTTTGCTAAAATCCAACCTACACTGTACTGTCTATATCCATTAGCCATGACCTGACAGGAGTCCATGAAGTGCCCTTCACCTCGGACTGAGACGTCTTTCAAATTAAAATGCAGAGACATGATGATTTAAACTGAGACATAATGACTCAATTTAAAATGGTTTTATGACATCAATTATGCCAACGCGACCCAACTAACAGACGTTATTTGTGAATCTAATGTTGGGCACCTATTGCAAGGGTATGACCTTGATTCCAGTGCCTTTGCGTGGTTGACCTTAGTCTTATTAATGTCTTTGTGACAAAACGTCATTGTCATGTACTGGTATTATCTTTTCCTTTGTAAGTGTCTTCATGATTCTGTTACTGTAAAGAGTCTAACCGGCCTGCATCGGCTTCGACTGGTTTGCTCCAATGTTTCTCAATATTAGGCCTACTTCATTTGGTCACGGAAGAAACTCTCATTGACATGAATACTACATTACTTCATCAGTCATACAAGGTCTGTGAGTGCTCAAAGGTCGATCCAGGTCTTGATTTACAGCAGAAGGATTGCCCTTGATTTATTGCCTACCAACTGATTTTTAATATAATATTTGCACGTTTGAAATGCATGACTTAATTATGCTAATTTTAATTTAAATGTACAAATCCTATTTAGCTGTTTGGGTTTAAATGACCAGTATGATGTGCTACTGCA